CTACTTTTTCTGAGGCGAAATTCAGACAATGTGTCTGTCTCTTTGAAGTCAGGTTCACCTAACCCCAACTCAGTGATCGTTGAGTCTTGCTCTAATTCTGAGCTGGACTCTTCAAACCACTATCTCCCCTTTTCTGAATTTGAAGATTACTTCATTGTCATCCCAAACTATCGTAAAAAAAACCAATCGTCTATTTCCCCTCCCCCTCTGTCCCACCTCCTTGCCCCCAAACTTACACCAACTCTTATGGAAAAAAAAAAGAAGCAACGAATCAGGCGCAATACGAGGAATATGAAAAAACCAGACACTATAGACTTGTAGGGGATCTGACCTTCCCATTTATTTTATACGGCTCTGTAGGGGAATAAGCCCTCCCCCCAAACCTCGGTTCGTTTATAATAAATTAATGATTGTGTTAAAATAAAGTGGATAATTATTTTTTATATGATTAAAATAGTTGATTTTACATAAACAATTACTAAATAATCAGTACTACTTTTTGATATTTTGCTGGGTTATATTTAATTCTTTTAATATATTTAAGTTTAATTATGTTTTATCAACATTATTAATTTACACACTAGTATTCGATCTTGTGCACATGCACATATGTTTAAGTTATTATAAGTTATATGTATGTATATAATATTAAAATCATAAGTTTGATATTAATATATAGAATCACATTTTAAAAGTTTTGTGATTAGTAAAAATGAACATTATAAAAGTATTCAATTTTATCATTATATTGATTGTAATAAAATAAAATGGATACTGTAGTTTATATAAATTTGAGAGATTGTGACCTAATAGTTATCCTTAAAAATTATTATTATTATTTATAAATTTTTTAAGAGGCTTGGTTATACCACTAAAGCCAATTAGCTTATTAAAAAAATGCTTAATAGCAATAAATAGTTTAAGAAAAAAATTGTAATATAATTTTTTATACTTATTAAGCTTTAGTATATTATTTTGTGTGAATTATAATTGGTTAGTTTTATTAATCATTATTATATAATAGAATAATTAAAAACCTGATTATAATGTATAAACCATTATTAAAATAGTATTGATTAAGTTTTAGTTACTGTTAAAAAAAATTGGGTTGTAACTAAAAAATATGGAAAACTTAAATAGTTCTACTAATTTTTTTGATAGAAATTATATATATATGGATCAAATATTTATTGATTAGTGAGGTGTTTAAGATTTTAATTAAAGAAAAAAATAATAAAGTAAGCATGCTTTTGTAACCTCTTTTGGAGAGAAAAATAAATGGAGTTTTATTAATTGATTTGCTAGCAAATATATATACTAGTATTTGATCTTGTGCACATGCAAACATTCAAATAGAACTTTATATGTTTTATGTATGTGTATGTAATATTTAAATCATAAGCTAGATAATGAAAATATCACATTCTATAAGTTTTATCATTAGTAAATATGTACAAATAAATATAAACTATTAACTTACATATTAATTTCTATATCGATTGCAGTTATATAATTTTTGCAATCTTTTTTTATTATGAACAATTGATTAGATAAAACAACATTGAAATTATTATTATAGCAATCGTGTACGAAATTTTAAAAAGTTTTGTTATATCATTATAATTAAATAAGTAGTGTTAATAAAAAAACTTGTTTAATGAGTTGAAACAAAAGAATAGTTTGAAAAAATAAATTAATTAAAATTTCGTTTAATGTGATTTTATAATTTGTTAAGAGTGTATTATATAACAAAATAAATAAAATGTATAAAAACTTAATTAATGCAAAATAACGACTCTTGGAGGGAAAAGTTTTGAGGTTTTATTAGATGTTTGGTTAGCAATTATATATACAGAAACTCTGTGGAGTCATCGGATGGTTTTCTTATAGAGTCAATCATTACTTAATGTAATGACACATATCCAAGGTGTATTTATTGTAGAACATGTGTCAATACACTATTGATAAATAAGTGTGGATGACTTCATAAGTCGTGTAATTCGATGACTCGACAACAAAATTACACACACACACACACACACACATATATATATATATATATATATATATATTTGAATCGATAAATACTCTGAGTGTATAATTTATGTCAGGTTTTTTTTACATTACACATAATCGTGTGCCTATATGTTTGTGTATAATTTAACTGTAAGAATTCAAAATGTGTGCATTGGAATATACTGATTTTTTCTATTATTTGTTACCATTTTAATATTTTATTGTGGAGCAAATAGAAGTTCAATAATTACGTAAAATCACACAAGTTGGAGGGCTGGAAAGAAAATGATCCAAACTTGTGCTCACCCCTTCGGTTAAAACCTAAGACTATATTTATCCTCAACCCAACTCAATAATAAAAAATTATTTATCTCTCCTCCACTTACACAACCCAACATACTATTTATTTTATTTTTATTTATTTGATATTATCTACAATAGATTTTTTGTTATTGTTTTAGTTGTGATCAATTAATTAAAAAAATCTATAATAAAAAATATTTATTTCAAAAAATAAAATAATTTAAAATACAACTAAAAAAATTACTAACATAATTAAAAATCGAAATTACATAATTCAGTACGAAATAAACTAAACAAGTTATAAACATTTCAAATGGAATTACACATCAAGTACCATTGCCAAAAAATTTCAAATTCATGTGACTTCCGTAAACCAAAGTCACACGCGACCTTGTAGGGCCCACGTAAACGACTTTTTTTTTCATTTATTTAACTAATATGCACCCTCAACTCGAGTTTCTCCAATTAAATGATCGGAGCTCCAAAATACTCGATAAATGTCCCGCATGACATCGTGTCTGAATG